GGCGCTGTGGTGCAGTGGGTTAATGCCCTGGGCTGAAGCACCAGCATCCCATATGGGCGCCGGTTCTAGTCCCGGCTGCTCCTCTTCCAATCCAGCTCTCTGCCATGGCCTGGGAAAGCAGTAGCAGATGGCCCCTGCACCCACGTGGGAGACCCGGAAGAAGCTCCTGGCTCCTGGCTTCAGATTGGCACAGCTCCGGCCATTGTGGCCATCTGGGGAGTGAACCAGAAGATGGAATACTCTCTGCCTCTCCTCTCTCTGTGTAACTCTGACTTTCAAATAAATCTATCTATCTATCTATCTATCTATCTATCTATCTATATTGTGTGCCTATTTTGGGCCAACCTTCTGTTTTATTTCTTTTTTCTTTTTTTCTTTTTTTTTGGCTTTAGGGGAACATCAGTGAACAAGCTAGTTTAGGATCTGACCTAAGTCTATGGACTCAATAATTATAGAAACCAAAAAGCTTATGGTTTATGCACTCCATAATTCCAGAGACAAAAATTATCATTTCATGTCGTGGTATGTGCTTCAAATGAAATAAAATATGATACCATGGAAGAGAGGGATGAGAATGGAGGGATGGGGGCTTTCTGGGGACATGAGTGAAGGGGCCTCTGCACAGTGGACGTAGGAGTGGAAGCCTGGACAGTGAGAAAGAGGCAGCCCAGTCAAGAGCTAGGAGACAGTCATCCTAGGCAGAGGGAAGAGCGAGTGTGGAGATGCTGAAATGAGAGCTTCGGGGACAGAAGCAGCAAGTGTGGGGCTGAGGCACCATTCAAAAGGAGACTGGTAGAGGAAGTTGGAAAGGCAGCAAGAAGCATCATCGTGGAGGGGTTTCACGGCCTAGTAAAGAACTTGGCTTTATTCAAATTTCAATCAGAAGTCATCACAGTCTTTAAGCCGATAGAATGATATTTGTGCTTTAAACGATCAGCCTGGCTGCTCTGGGGAGAATGGATTGAGGGAAGGTGAGAGTGGACACAGGGAGAATGCTGTTGCCTGGATCCAGTCCAGGGAGGCAGAGGCCTGGATGAGGGTAACGTGGGTGGAGAGGGTGAAGAAGTATTTTGGAATCTGGGCTGTCAGGAGTTGGTGCTCTACGTAGTGGGTGAGGGCAGAAGAAGCAACAAAGATGAATCCAAATTGTGGGGCTGAGCACCTGCAGGGATGGGGTACATGGAGTAATTAATTGAAGTGGGAAGGAGAACCTTGGCAGGGAAGAAGCTTGACTTGTGTGTTGGATGCAGTAAGATATTATCAGATACACTGGCGGGTGTGTGTGTGTGTGTCTAGTTGGTAGTTGTGTAAGACTGATGTTGAGGGCAGAGTCGGAGTTGGAAATACCCAGAGGGGAGTTATCAGGTCACAGGGGGTATTTAACATCACCAGATTGGATGAGGTCACCAGTGAGAGCGTACAAAGATCTGAGTGCCCAAAAACCCTCCAACATGGTTGTCCTGCAGCAAAATCAGAGCCTCTAAAAGAAGCAGAGGAGGAACCAATGTTTAAGGAGAAAAAGAGAAACCTGGAGAAGAAATGTTCAGAAAGGAGGTGTCTAGTGGTCAAATGCTACAGTCAAGTTACAGGGAATTGGAGAAGTGGATGCCCAAGTGTGGGTGGATGGGTTAGATGTCTCTGTTGACCTTGATAATGAGCTTTTATTATGGTGTGGTGGGGACTAAGACTTGATTGGGCTGAGTTTAGAGAGATGTTGGAGAGGAGAAAGTGTGGAGAAAAAGAACAGACAGTACTTTGGCATTGGTTTTGCTGTTATGGAAAGCAGAGACACTGGAAGTGAGCAAAGGAGGTCTTGTGGTCCAGGAGAGATGGCTTTCACTTTTTAAGACAGGTTATTGTAAAGCAAGAGCAAGGGCAGTGACGGAGAAATTGATGGGAAAGAGATGAAAACTCTTCAGTGAGAGTTGTGATTTTCTACAAGAAATTTGACATTTGTCTGAATGTGTTTAATTGATTTGCTTTCTACTAATACCCAAGACCAATTATACTGAAGGAATGGAGCCTTGGGAATTTAAGAAGGCCTCAAAGTTCACAGAAACATGGAAAAAATGTTTGAAGTTTCAAGCAATTGGCTTGCAAACAAGCCTTTGGAATGCAACTAACTTCTAGGCTTGGGAATACCTGCGTTCCATGAGAGCCAGGGGTAAATGGGCTTTAACGGGGGTCCTGTAAACTAAATACATTAGTTTATAGGATTTGGGTTTTGTTTCTTGTTAATATGTATGACTAATTAGTTTTTTGAAATCACGATGAAGCCCAAGGGTAAATGTCAAAATTGTGGTCTGTAGAGGTTCAAACAGGCAACGCTGTGTGCTGTTTTAGAACAGTAGAATGGCGAATCTGCATTTTCTTTGAAATTTTATTTTTGTATTAAAAAAAATTGGTGGTGGACATTTGCAGCTGGTTAAGCCACTGCCTAGTTGGAGTCTAGGCTGCTTTGCTTCAGATCCAGCTTCCTGCAAATGCATCATGGGAGGCGGTAGATGATGGCTTAGGATCTTGGGCGAAAAGGCTTTAGTTTCCGCAGGGCTGTTGGCAGCCATTCAGAAAGTGAACCTGTGGAGGGAAGATCTCTTTCACACGCTGCCTCTCTTTCTGTGTTTATCTCTGTCTCTCTCCCTGTTGTTTCACTTTTCAAGTAGCTGAAAATAAATCAGTAAATATTTAAAGAAGTATTTATTTGTTTGAGAGGTAGATGACAGAGAGGGAGAGATAGACAGGAAGAGAGAGAGCCTCCATCCATTGATTCACTCCCCAAATGCCTGGTACAACTAGAGCTTAATCCGGGGGCCGAAGCCATCAGCTGAGAACTCAGTTCAAATCTCCCACATGAGTGACAGAAGCCCAACTATTTGAGCCATCACAGCTGTCCCATAACAGGAATGTGGAGTCAGATGGAGGCAGGCATCCAACCCAGGCACACTGACTTCAGATGTGGGTGACTTAATGATGTCTTAACCTCTAGGACAAATGCTCTCCCCTTTTTGAAAATTTAAATGCAAGCATTTCATATAAGGAAATCTGCTACCAGGAAATCGCTAAGGGCTGCTTCCTGCCGATTCTCACCTCACAATCAGGTAGGATGCACTATGGACTGTTTTCCCCTCAGTGTCTAGCAGGGAAACTTGCTGGAGTCTCAGTGCTTAATGAATGAATGCATACATTTTCATATGAAGAGAAACTAAAAATTATTGCAAGTTATTCTGAAATCATTTGGCTTCAATGACTTTTGGCTCTTTCCTTAAGGTACAAATGTGAGTGTGTCAAAGAAATAGTCAAAGGAATGTTCTGGAACCCGATAGGCAAAAGCCAGAGAGGAGTTCAACCATGCATGTGCTAAGTGGCAGTGTCCTTGAAACAGGTGTAATCTTCAAGCCATTATGAAGAAGAGGCTGAACCTTGCTTCTATGTGCATATTTTTGGTGGACTTGATAAAGAAAGATAATGACCTTTTTTGAATCAAATATTTTGTGAGTTTCCCTAACTCCGAGTATTTAGCAGTGACATGTATGATATAGATGAGCAACATTTATAGCATTATAAGCTTAGGAAGCTTGGAGTTAGCACTCAAAACTAGTTTTCCTAGTTTCAAAAGCTGCATTTAGATGTTCTACTAAAGTAAAGAAATCCATAACTATGTGAACAGAATTTCAAAATACAGGATCCAATCCACTGCTTCAGGAAGAAACAGCCTATTTAAGATACTATGATCCATCCTAACTGACTTTTAGAAGGAAAACACTCATATGTGTTTCTCTCTGGACTGTTTATTATCAAAGAACTCAATCTTACTGATTCACAGTCATTTTTAATGTACACTCCATACTGGGTATTACATGATGTTTCACAAATTCCATAAGGAATGTAGGACAAGAAGGCATGTTTTGAACCCACATTCCCACATTCTGGTAAATCAGAGCAGGGAGCAATTCATTTGGGAGTTTAACTAAGACTACTGTTACTGGGGCCAGTGCTGTGGCACAGCGGGTTAACCCCCTGGTCTGAAGCGCTGGCATCCCATATGGGCACTGGTTCTAGTCCTGGCTGCTTCACTACTGATCCAGCTCTCTCCTATGGCCTGGGAAAGCAGTAGAAGATGGTGCGACTCCTTGGGCCCTTGCACCCATGTGGGAAACCTGGAAGAACCTCTTGGCTCCTGGCTTCGGATCGGTGCAGCTCCAGCCGTTGCAGCCAATTGGGGAGTGAACCATCGGATGGAAGACCTCTCTCTCTCTCTCTCTCTCTCTCTCTCTCTCTCTGCCTCTCCTCTCTCTGTGTGTAACTCTGACTTTGAAATAAAATAAATAAATCTTTAAAAAATGAATACTGTTACTATATCAGTATCAATATTTTATCTGCTGTGCTGTACTTCTTATAAATATTAAATAACAATAGCTAAAATGCTTAGTTTGATTTAGTCCTTCTGTAACGTAAACTCCTAAAAACTTTACATCTTGGGACTGGCATTGTGGTGCAGTGGGTTAAGCTGCCGCTTGCCAGGCTGGCATCCCATATTGGAGTGCTGGCTGGAGTCCCAGCTGCCCTGCTTCCAATCCAGCTCCCTGCTAATGCACCTGGGAAAGCAGTAGAAGATGCCAGAAGTAGTTGGGCCCTGCCACCCGCTTCAGAGACCAGATTTGAGTGCTGGCTCCTGGTTTCAGCCTGGACAAGTCCAGGCTCTTGTGCCATTTAGGGAGGGAACTAGTGGCTGGCACACCTCTCCCCAGCCTCTTGGTTCCTCTGCCTTTTCAATAAATAAATAAATCTTAAAAATAGCATCAAAAACATCATTATCAAACCCCATAAATATATAATGTATACAATTATTATTTTAGTTAGAAATAAAATAAAAAATAAAAAAAACACATACTTTCTAATTTACTAAGCATGGCTTTCCCACCTCTGTGATTGAAATGATAACCCACTGCAAACTAGACATCTTCCTTGTTGATAAGTAATGATCCACACGCACAACTTACATGAACATGCCCTCTGGGGTCATTCGTCCAACTTGGATTAGATAGGCTCCAAATCGAAACCCTGCGGCATAGGCAAAGTATACAAAGGCGTGGCTGAATGCGTAGCAGCTCCCTATGATCTGTGCCTTCTTCAGGGTGTTTCTGAAATGCATATAATTTCCCAAATGAATTTGAGTAAGGACAATTCAATAAATGTAAAGAATATAGAGCATTTTCAACTGTTACAGTTTGGTGGAAATATATTTTTGGGGTGATTAAAGAGAATATGATTTTGATTTTACTACTGAGAAGTATTATAGAGAAGATAGGTGATATAATGATTTTCTATTAGCTATGTGTAAACTATTGTTCAGGGTAGCAAAATTGCTTCTGTGTGATTTCTAATGAATGGACGAGTCTGGGAAAGTTTAGCTGATGTAAGAATGGAAGAGATTTGGTTTATAGGAATATAACAATATTCTCTGATTCTCTGTCATAATCTTCATGAATAGGATAGTGGAAATAAGGGGCCGGCTGTGGCTTAGTGGGTAAAGCTGCTGCCTGCGGTGCCAGCATCCCATATGGGTGCGGTTTGAGTCCCAGCTGCTCCACTTCCAATCCAGCTCTCTGCTGTGGCCTGGGAAAGCAGTGGAAGATGGCCCAAGTCCTTGGGCCTCTGCACCCACATGGGAGACCCAGAAGAAGCTCCTGGCTCCTGGCTTTGGATTGGCGCAGCTCCAGCTGTTGTAGCCATTTGGGGAGTGAATCAGCGGATGGAAGACCTCTCTCTCTCTGCCTCTGCCTCTCTGTAATTCTGCCTTTCAAATGAATAAATAAATCTTAAAAAAAAATAACAATAGTGGAAATAAAAGAGTGGTGCCAACCACAAGCATGTGTGCTGAAGAACACAAGGCTGTCTCTGTGATAAGTCTTAGAAAGAGGATCCTTAAGCCAATGTTACAAGGAAGAGCAACTGACAATGAAAAGCAATGGGCACATTTTTCTGTGCCTGTGTTTGCTCTAAAATGTAAATGACTTAGGGATTTAATGGAAATAGTCAAAGGATCTTGTTTTCTTTCTTTAATATGCTACTTCTGCTATCTTCCTTCAGGAAGCTAAGAAAAACGTGCACCCTTAGTGAGAGGCAGTCCACATGAGGTGGAGCCTAACGTTGTTCTAATTGTGCATGCCCCTGTTCCTTCTCTAGTTTCCCCATGGGCGGGCTGGTCCACCACTGGAGTCATTCAGGGCAAAATCCAGCTTATGGGGACAGAAGGGTGCTACAGTCACCTGTGTTGAGTGAGAAGCGTCTCCTCATACATTTGTTCAAAGGCTTTCTCTCTCGTCAATGACATGATAGTACGTATGTTCTCCACCGCTTCCGTTGCTATCTTATAAAACAGGATAATAAAATGCAGAAGTAACATTAGGAATCTTTCAACTTTTCCTCCTTGTCAATTCCAGTCACTTAGGAACATCAACAATAAATATATCAAGTTAATATGTTTAGTTGACAAATAGTTTTAGCTCTTAGCTTCTTCCCTCCCTCGTTCCTCCCCACTGTCCTCCTATCCCCAAAGAAATAGGAAAATGATCCTTCAGGTTAGAGGCTCAAGGAAAATTCCTTTTGAAAAGATTTAGTCTGCTGATCTTGGTTTAGCTCCCTATAAGTCTTTACTGAATTTAAAAGTAAACTGGTTCCACAAGCCCAGCCATCACACATAAGGGAGTCTGTGTTCTTATGTAAAATAGCTTCTTAGAATTTATAAAACAATTCAAATCAAAGCAGAGAGAATCAAATAGGTAATTATTTTATTTTAGTCCATAAATGCAAGCAGTAACCAAAGAGGATTCAGGAACATTCTGGAAAAGTAATGTCACTATAACATTCTTTATCAGATCAAGCCATTTCTTCATTTTGATGTCCGTGAACTTAAAAAGATACTTAACTCAAATATGATGAATGCACTTCGTATGTATGTAGTTTTTAAAAGGAATGTGTCTTTACATGAGATCCAAAATAGAGGAGTTTTTGGCTGAGAAGAATTTCCCAGACATGTGAATACATGTTGGCTTGAAAGCAAAACTTCCTGTTCCCACATTTCTGCTCCCAGAGTGGCAGCGCAGATCTGGGACAAAGAGAGCTAGGTGGACTTCAGAGTTATCTGAAGGAGAATTGGAGGTGCAGGAGAGAACCAGATTTCTAGATGGTGGTCAGAATACCTGACTTCCGCTCCCAATTTTGATGTTAATTGTTTCAAGTTCTTACTAATTTCAGCATGAACTTTGAAAAAAAAAACCTATTTTTAACATAGTCTGTAGTATGCAAGGAGAAAGACTAATGTCATTACAGGACCTTAGAAAATAGTTTTTCCTTTTTCTTTTTCTTTCTTTTTTTTTTTTTTTAAGAGAAGACGAATACAGCCGCTTTAAGTCTGAAACAATAAAACATTTGATGATTTTTCCAAATTTACAACTGCAACTAAAAAAGGACCAGTATATTTTGTTGGTCTATGCTGGAAATTGGGGTGTTTGGTTAACTGAGTTATTAGAAGCTGGAGGAAGAGGGCAAGATTGTCTGTTTGATTAGAGTTCCTGATTGAACAGAGTTGGGGTTATCGCAATGATACAAAAAGGAAAAGTCTAAGAGGATATTTACAACTAAAGCTCAGGACATAACTAAAACTGGATGCGTATAAGTCATTGTGTCCCCTTAATTTAAAACCTGTACATTATCACAGTTTTTAGGTTATACAAGAAGAGCTAAGCAGCTGCTCACTATCTTTGAGGCAAGCACCTGCTAAGTAGCTGGGTCTGTACAGAAGCAGCAAATATTCCACGGGTCCAGTCAAACCAGATTATGGCGAGAAGACCAAAAGTAGTATTAAAATCATTTTTCCTGTTCAGGGGATGCTCCCCGGTGAGGTCAAGTTCTTTGAAGCCCTATCATGCGAGGGGCAGCTGAAGGGCCTGGGAAGCGTGGCCTTGAGAAGACTGAGTGTGGACACGATTCAGCTTCTGAAAGCCTGTCGTGAAAAACAGGTTTTGGATCTCTATTAAAAGTGAAAGCCAGCCGGCGCTGTGGCTCAATAGGCTAATCCTCTGCCTTACAGCGCCGGCACACAGCGTTCTAGTCCCAGTTGGGGCGCCGGATTCTGTCCTGGTTGCCCCTCTTCCAGGCCAGCTCTCTGCTATGGCCCGGGAGTGCAGTGGAGGATGGCCCAAGTGCTTGGGTCCTGCACCCCATGGGAAACCAGGAGAAGCATCTGGCTCCTGCCTTCAGATCAGCGCAGTGCGCCGGCTGCGGCGGCCATTGGAGGGTGAACCAACGGCAAAAAGGAAGACCTTTCTCTCTGTTTCTCTCTCTCACTGTCCACTTTGCCTGTCAAAAAAAAAAAAAAAAAAAAAAGTGAAAGCCAAGGAGAGCAGGACAGAAGGCTACCAGGAACAAAATGAACAGAACATAACAGAGCAGAACTGTCTACCAACAAAGCCTAGACAGGGTGGGCCCTAGGAAGCGAATGGACTGCCTGCCCCTGGGGGAGAGTAGACTCGATGTTGTGCACGGGATCAATGATGTCTCTTCCGAGTCTCCCTGAATCTCCAATGCTTATTTCTGTGCATATTGTTGATGCTGAGAAGCTTGAATATGCCAAAGAGCTTTTTTTTTTTTTTTTTTTTTTTTTTTTTTTTTTGACAGGCAGAGTGGACAGTGAGAGAGGGAGACAGAGAGAAAGGTCTTCCTTTGCCGTTGGTTCACCCTCCAATGGCCGCCGCGGCTGGTGCGCTGCGGCCAGCGCACCGTGCTGATCCGAAGGCAGGAGCCAGGTGCTTCTCCTGGTCTCCCATCGGGTGCAGGGCCCAAGCACCTGGGCCATCCTCCACTGCACTCCCTGGCCACAGCAGAGAGCTGGCCTGGAAGAGGGGCCAAAGAGCTTTCTAAATAATTCAGTCAGTTGTTTAGTATAAAAATGGTCCTTGTCTCGAAAGTCTTGTCTTATATGCTATCAATATCAGGGTGTTGCCTTATATTCAAGAATTGTTGAATTTCCTGCTCATTTTGAAAAGTAAAACACAAAACAAAAACTGCTCACGAAAATGTAACTACTCGAATGGACTGGGAGAGGGAGCAGGAGATGGGAGGGTTGCGGGTGGGAGGGAAGTTATGGGGGCGGGGAGCCACTGTAATCCAAAAGCTGTACTTCAGAAATTTATATTTATTAAATAAAAGTTTAAAAAAAGAGAAAATGTAACTATTCAGGGCTGGCGCTGTGGTGTAGCAGGTAAAGCCCCTGCCTGCAGTGCCGGCATCTTATGGGCGCCAGTTCATGTCCAGGCTGCTCCACTTCATATCCAGCTCTCTGCTATGGCCTGGGAAAGCAGTAGAAGATGACCCATGGCCTTGGGCCCCTGCACCCATGTGGGAGACCCGGAAGAAGCTCCTGGATCCTGGCTTCTGATTGGCGCAGCTCTGGCCATTGTGGCCAATTGGGGAGTGAACCAGCGGATGGAAGACCTCTCTCCCTCTCTGCCTCTCCTTCTCTCTCTGTGTAACTCTGACTTTCAAATAAATAATAAATCATAAAAAAAGAGAAAGTGTAACTATTCAATGAACAGAGAATTAGAGCATCATGATGATAGAAAGCCCTGCCGTTACAGAGTAGCAGGAATGATGGCTGACGTTGTTAAGTGTGTACTGTCTTCCAGACACTGTTCTGAGCATTCTGGATCTAACAGTGCTAAATGTTTTGTCTAACAAAACTGTAAGTGGATACTATTATCACTACCCCCAGTTTACAGGTGTGAAAGCAGAAGTCTAAAAGGTTGACCTAACTTGCTCATTTCACACATTTGTTAGTGATAGAATCTGGATCCTAACTCAGACAGGTTTATTCCAGAACTTGCATTCTAAATCACAAACCCTATTGCTATAACATACCTACCTGTATCCCACACTGGTCTGTGTGTGTGTGTGTGTGTATGTGTGTGTACCTGTGCCACTTTGTGGAGATGAAGTTAACATTTCATAAACACAAGAGCTCTGATGAACTTCTCTCTTAAAAGGTTATGGTTGGCCGGCGCCGCGGCTCACTAGGCTAATCCTCCATCTTGCGGCGCCGGCACACCGGGTTCTAGTCCTGGTCGGGGCGCCGGATTCTGTCCCGGTTGCTCCTCTTCCAGGCCAGCTCTCTGCTGTGGCCAGGGAGTGCAGTGGAGGATGGCCCAAGTGCTTGGGCCCTGCACCTGCATGGGAGACCAGGAGAAGCACCTGGCTCCGGGCTTCGGATCAGCGAGAAGTGCTGGCCGCAGCGTGCCAGCCGCGGTGGCCATTGGAGGGTGAACCAATGGCAAAAAGGAAGACCTTTCTCTCTGTCTCTCTCTCTCTCACTGTCCACTCTGCCTGTCAAATAAATAAATAAATTAATTAAAAAAAAGGTTATGGTTAATAGGGTCTTCATGTTACCTTCCCAGCACGTTTCAGTTCTTGCTTATCCTTGTTGGCAAAGCCAGTCATCGCGGCTGTTTCAATCATTCCCGTCACAGCTAGTACTGGAGCAATACTCAAAGTCAGGAGTGTCATCTCCCATCCATACAGGAAGGAAATGGTAACTGACAGTCCCATGTTAGTTACACTTTGTGTGAAGACACCAATCCTTGAGCCGATTGCCTATAATCAGACACGTTTCAGAGAAAAAAATTCAGTTAGCATAAAATTGACAAGAATTCCTGCTGTAGTTCCTTGCAAAACCTGTGGCCTCTTTTTTTTTTTTTTTTTGAGGATTTATACTTAGAAATGAAATTGATACATATTTTTAAAATGTCCTTGACTAAAGAATCATTATGTTTTATATGCATGAGACATCCAAATGAACTGGCTTTTTTTTTTTTTTTTTATTTGACAGGTAGAGTCATAGACAGTGAGAGAGAGACACAGAGAAAGGTCTTCCTTCTGTTGGTTCACTCCCCAAATGGCCACTATGGCCAGTGCTGCTCTAATCCGAAGCCAGGAGCCAGGTGCTTCTTCCTGGTCTCCCATGCGGGTACAGGGGCCCTAGCACCTGGGCCATCCTCCACTGTCCTCCCGGGCCGCAGCAGAGAGCTAGACTGGAAGAGGAGCAATCAGGACTAGAACCCGGCGCCCATATGGGATGCCGGCACTGCAGGTTGGAAATGAAATACCATCTGCTTAAAGGAGATTCTTACATCACTCTGATAGCTCTCCTTGAAGAGTTTGCAGAATTTTACACCCCAATCCAAATTAAGTGCATCCGAGTTTGAATTTATGGGATTGCTTTCTGTCTTCTGAATCTTTTTGTTTCCCTGCACCCCATAAAACAACAATAAAACAAAACAGATATACATGTGTGTGCACATGCGCACTCCCCCCTCTTCCACCTCAACTTACAGATAAAACAGGTAAAACTGATTTTTGGAAATAGTGGAATCATAGTTAGTGTTAGAAAATTAAAACAAGATCCTTTAGTTCAGCAGTTTTCACTGTTTACTTTTTTTTTTAAGATTTTATTTATTTATTTGAGGGATAGAGTTACAGACAGTGAGAGGGAGAAACAGAGAGAAAGGTCTTTCTTCTGTTGGTTCACTCCTCAGATGGCCACAACGTACAGAGCTGGGCCAATCCGAAGCCAGGAGCCAGGTGCTTCCTCCGGGTCTCCCACGCGGGTGCAGGGGCCCAAAGACTTGGGCCATCTTCTACTGCTTTCCCAGGGCACTGCAAAGAGCGGGATCGGAAGCAGAGCAGCTGGGACTAGAACTGGTGTCCATATGGGATGCTGGTGCCGCAGGCGGAGGAGTAACCAAGTGAGCCACGGTGCTGGCCCCTCACTGTTTACTTTTTTTATAAGTTGTCATATTTACTAGGAATTTTATGGGAAGTAAACTTTAATAATTAATAGTATTAAAGTGCCAGTTTTACATACATGCACACAGACATGCCCTTAGCATTCAAGTGTTTGGAAAAGATGATTTTAGTTATGCATATGAATTATTTTTGAAGGTTTTCATGTTCTATTTCACAGAGAGTTAAAAGGAAGAGAGTCTTGTGTTTTAGCTTACATATTTACTAATATAGACTAATTCAAATTCAATAATTCAAAGTGAATCGTGAATTTCTATTTTAATGAAAATATTTTGCAATCTATAAAGATAAGGTTTTTTTTTTTATGTTTTCTGTTCATTTACGTTTCACACCAATTGTGTCTGTTGGTGGAGCTATTATCCTGCACGGACTATAACTCAAGCCATCTGAGTCCAAACTCAGTGCTTTTTTGGGATATGAAGCTTCTTTTTAAAAATATTTTATTTATTTATTGGAAAAGCAGAAGGGGAAGGGAGAAAGAGAGGAGAGAGAGAGAGAGAGAAAGAGAGAGAGAGGGAAAGAATGAGAATCTTCCATCTGCTGGTCCACTCTAAAAGCTCACAATGGTCAGGAATGGGCCAGACTGAAGCCAGGAGACTGGAACTCCAACTGGGTCTCCCCAGGGGCCCTAAGCACTTAGACTATCACCTCCTGCTGTTGAAAATGCAAGAGTTGACAGGGAAAGGAGACCACCATGGAGAGAACAGAGTAAAGTAGGAAAGACTAAAGACTCAAAGAGGGCCAAAACAGGAGAAAGGATGAAAATAAACATTAGCAGGCAAACTTGTCATACTACAGATTAAGCATCCCTAATCCAAAAATCCAAAATTCAAAATGCTGCAAAATCTGAGACAGTTTTGAATGCTGATGTGACACCATAGGTGGAAAGTCACAGATCATGGAACTTTGTTTCAGGCACACACTTATAAAAATAGGATAAAGAACAAGAGAAGCAGCGTGCAGTTCATTGATTGTGACAAATGTACTAATATTAGATGCTAATAATAGAAGAATCTGGTGTGGCTTATAGATTGTGACAGATATATCATACTAACCTAAGAGGGTAGCAGTAGGAGGAGTCGGGTATGGGCTGTATGGGAACTGATGGCACTACTTCATACTTTTTATTTTGTTAATGTGAAACTATTCTGAAATAAAAAGTATTAAAATATACTGTATAAAATCACCTTCAGGAGTAAGCATTTTGCCCAGCGGTTAAGATGCCCACATCGCACAGTGGGGTGGCTGGGTTTGATTCTTGGCTCCAGCTCCTGACACCAATGCAGACCCTGGTAGGCAGTGGTGATGGCTCACGTATTTAGGTTCCTGCCACCCTCATGGGACACCTGGACTGCATTCCCAGCTCCTGGTTTCGAACCAGGCACTCTGATATCAGATGCAGACTTCCCAGGCTGTGTCTTAACTGCTGTAGCAAACACCCCACCCTAGAAGTACCAAGCTCGGTGTTGGAGAGGCAGAAGTTGTGGGCATTTGGAGGTGAATCAGTGGATGCAAGCTCTCCCTTCCTGTCTATTTCTCCTTCTTTCTTCCTCTCCAATAAATAAATAAAACATTTAAAAATAGATTTAAAACTTCCTTTAGGCTATAAGAAATTGCAAATGAAACATAAATGAATTTTGTGTTTAGGTTTGAGTCTCTTGTAGAAGATATCTCATTATATATATTCAAATATTCTTCAATCTGTGAAAATCTGAAATCCAAAACAGTTCTGCTCCCAAGTATTTCTGTATAATTACAACTGTATTCCATAATTGTAATTGATACATACAGGCACTCAAAAATAGCTTTTTTTTTTTTTTACTGAGCATGAAATAAGCACTTTGCTTTCAATGTCTTTTAATCTCATAGCAATGCTAAGAAACAGATATTCTCACTATACCCATTAGAGAGACGAGGAAACCGAGGCAGAGAGGTGAAATCATTTGCCCCTAGATGTACAGCTTGCAATCGGAGGATGAGAGCTGTCAGTTCCCTGAAACAATTGGGAGTAGGTGGATGACCCGATGCCCTTTCACCCCTGTGTACTTAGGGATGGTTTGTTATAAACAAGAACGGTATCTCTTACAAGTAAAACACCATCATCAAAAACCAGGAAACTGACATTTCATACTTTCACTGCCATCTAATTCTTAGACCCAATTCTAGTTTTGTCAATTGTCTTAAGAATGCCTTCTGTTGCAAAAGGATGTCCAATTCAGAATCATTATTGCATTTAATTCTTGTCTTTTTATTCCCTTCTGTTTGGAACACCTCTTCATTCTTACCTTGGTGTTTATGACCTTGACTTTTTTTTTTTTTTTTTTTGAAAATTAGAATCGGCTTTTTTGAAGTCAGCTGGTAGAATGTCTCTCAGTGTTGGCCTGTCTGCTGTTTTCTCATGATCAAGTTCAGATCATGGGTCTTGGGCAGAAATACCCCAGGGGTGATGCTGTGCACCTGTCTGGGGCATTCAGTTTTGCTTTGTCCTATTCCTGGTGCTGTTCACTGTTATAACTGATTAAGAAGGGTCTTCTAGCCCTCTCCACCATGAGACTATCTTTTCCTTTGTAATTAGCAAATGTCCTCAGATAGGCACTTTAAGCTATGCAATAGCCACTCTTTCATCAAACTCATTGCTCACTGTAGTAAGGACTAGGGGTTTCTTATTTTCCTTCAGCGACTTAATTGTTGATTTTGAAACTCAGATTGTCCAGGTGTAGCTGGTGCCTAAAGTCAGCCTTGTTGACCTTTGACATGCCCTTCCTGGGTTTTGAACACTTGTTAAGTTCTCACTTTCTCACACACCCAGATTCTCCAGGTTCATCCTATCCTGTCTCTGCCCTGTCCTGGAATCAGACATTTCTCCAAAGATCTCTGCTCTCTGGTTCCTTTTAGGGGGGAACATTTTTCAGGACTCAAGACATAGTGCTCATTGTGCTCATTATTACTGGGTGTCATTGGGTGACCTAGGGAGTGTGTATGTGTGTGTGTGTGTGTGTAGGTGCACACACACATTTACATCTATATTTATTTATCTGCCTACCTATTTTGCTTTTCCTTATTTTTTAAGATTCATTTTATTATTTATTTGAAAGACAGAGTTACAGAGAGAGGTAGAGACACAGAGAAAGAGAGAGAGCTCTTCCATCCGCTGGTTGCTGGTTCACTCCCCAAATGGCCGCAATGGTTGGAGCTGAGCCGATCCAAAGGCAGGAGCCAGGAGCTTCCTCCAGTCCTCCCACATGGGTGCAGGGGTCCAAGGACCTGGACCATCCTCTGATGCTTTCCAAGATGCATTAGCAGGGAGCTGGATTGGAAGTGGAGCAACCAGGACTCAAACCAGTGCTCGTGTGGAATGCCGGCGCTGCAGACCTGGGCTTTAAACCCATTGTGCCACAGTCCCAGCCCCCAGCCTACCTATTTTTCTTAAAATCCATGAGTCACTTCAATACCTCCAATTCCAATCTGATACCACAAAGTTATTTCCAGTTTTCTCCCCTTCTGTATTAGTTATCCTGTCTTCATAAGTGAGAACCCTGGCTCCTGTTTCCCTTAGTGGATTGATTTGTGTGGTTATTCTCTGTGGGTGTAACCAGTCAGCTGTCCTGGCCCCTGCCCCACCCTGGGCTGCCACCACCTCTGATTGCCCAGCCCACCATGTCTGGACCCTGTCCCTTCTTCCACACTAATGCAGTCCCAGGATTCTGAGCCACTGTATCATAGTAGTGTGGAATTGAATGATTAAGGCTATCCATTAAAGTGTACACTTTGGATATGATACCTCTCATTAC